CATGGAGGAGAGACTTGAATGAAACGTTTTTTAAGCCTCACCTCCATGGTGGATCAGGAGGGGCGCCACCTCACCAAAAGAAGAGAGCACAGAAGCGGGTCTAAAAAATACTGATCCGCCACAGAGGCGGGGCTTAAAATCACTCCATTCAAGCCTCTCCTCTGAGACACATCTGGGTCTTTCTGAATGCTGCAAAGCAGAAGGGAGGCTTGAAATAGCTTTCATAGGTGAGATCACATACAGTTCAGTAGCAAGAAGCGTAGAGCTCGGTAGCATGGTAGTAAACAACGCAGCGCACGGTAGTAAAGGACGCAGATGGGGGTACTAAAGAACGCAGAGCAAGGTACTAAAGAACACACAGCACGGCAGGAAAGAACGCAGAGCATGGCAGGAAAGAATGCAGAGCACGGTAGGACAGAACGCAGTACTGTTCTATTACAATACTTCTACACAACACTGGGCACCTGGAACATTATATAAAGACAAAATCAATACAATCTCCAGCTTGACAATATTTCTATAAACAAAATATTTTTTTCTCTCCACTGTCATTTTGGCTTTTATTTAAATACAATTTACTGTTAAATATTTTACTCAGCACTTTGAGGCAGTCACAGGTCACTGTGCATCCCATGGATTCACCTTCGGGGTCGGGGAGGATCCACAAACTCCCTGCGCCCCAGCCCTTCATCTTTCTCTGGTTCCAGCTCCTGCTTGCCTCCCTCTGCTCTCGGTTGCGCTGGATGCTGCAGCTGCATGAGGGGAGAGGTCTCTCTCCTTCTCTGCTGTGGCCTGAACAGCAGGAAGTGGCGGAACAACCAGGGTCCAGGTGATGTGAACCTGGTAGTTCTGCCCGTGTGTCAGTCTGCGCCAGGAGGGAGGGAGGCAGGCACCCCCCCGATGCGGCGCCTGGAGCACATGCCCCCTCTGCTCCTCCCTAGCTTTGTCCGTGCCTGTAGGTGGCAGCCAGGTGCACTTTTAGTGTCACTGGAAAGGGGTGGGAGCCATGTGCACAGTAGACATGCAAGTCGGCAAAAAAATTGTTTAGTTTCATTTCGGATGTTTCGTTATTTGGGATTCAGGTCTGAAAATCAGTTCGCTTAGGCATTCAGATGATGATGATCATTACGAACTAAAATTTGTTGCAGAAAAGTGACATTACATGTTTATTTTTATTTTTTACTTTGACACCAGAAACAAAAACAAAACAGCGTGGGGTCCCCCCCAATTCACACAAGGCCCTTTAGCTCTGGTAGAAATGTTATGGAGAACCTGATATGTAAAAAGAACAACAACAAAAAAACAGCGTGCGGTTTCCCAGCAATTAATACCAGACTCTTTAGGTCTGGTAGGAATTTTAAGCTGGTACCCCGATGCCAAAAATGTTTTTAAAAAATGGGGTCCCCCCTAAAATCTCATACCAGACCCTTAATCCTGCCAGGGCAGGAAAGGAGAGGGGGAACGAGCGAGTGCCTCCGCCCTCCCTCCACCATACGCCCTCAGTGTTGGGAGGGTGCGTTTCCAGGTGGGGGACCCCCTGGAAAATCACCTCGTCCGCATGCCGATGGGCACAAGGGCCTCTTCCCCACAACCCTAACCCGGTGGTTGTGGGGGTCTGTGGGCAGGGGCTCATCTGGGAACCCCCCTTTGATAAAGGGGGCACCCAGATGCCACCGCCCCTTATAAGTAAGGGGTACCTGTACCGCTACTCATTCACTAAAGGGTTAAATAAAATCCAATCGGATTCCTTTAGATTTGTTATTTGTGTCATTCGGAAATTCGAATGCATACAAATTTCAATTCGGAACTAAACAAATTGCACATGTCTAGTGCACACACCTATCCCCCATTGTAGTGAAACATATAGTGCCTGTAGATGTCAGTGTCACTGGAAAGATGTGTGCACCTGGCTTTCACTTATCCACCATTCCAGTGACACTGACAATGCATATTAACAGAAGCCTTACAAACCTGGCAAACTGAGGCCTGATGGCAAAAAGCCCAAGAAGCAATTACAGCCCTGGTGGGGGTGCCTTATGCTTAAGATCATATACTTGAATGATGGTCCGATGGATCCAGCTGGCACTAGATGCCAGGGTGTGCTTCCTCAGCCCATCCTGAATAAAACATAAATCATTGGTTTCCTGAAAGAGGTCATGGCTGAATTGTAGCCCTGAACACCACTAACTAGTGATGAGCCGAACACCCCCGTGTTCGGTTCTAACTCGAACTTTCGAACATGGAAAAAGTTCTAACTCGAACTTAGAACTTAGCTTAGCTCCATGGCATATTGGCTAAGTTCTGGCCAGTGATCCAATCTCAGCACCCAGTAAGCCAGATCGAACGCGAAGCTCATCCCTACCACTAACCACATCTAGGCAGTAAACAGAAATTTCCTTCGGGTGAATTGGTACCTGAAACAGGGACAGTAGAACAATATGGAGAGAGCTGGAATATGCTGCTCTGCCCAGATCAAAATGAGCTTGACCTCCTTTTGACAAGTGGGACTTCTTTTTCCTCCCCAATGACTGACATATGTAATGGCCATGGTAATGTCTGAATGCATCTAATCCTAATGTTTCACCATCTAATTGGTCCAGTATTGAAGGGGCTAGCAGATTACCTGGTGCTCTAGGATGTTGATTGGAACCTGCCATTCCTACAAAGTCCCCTTTACCAACTCCAACAAGGACTCCTCCCCAGCCCTACAGGCTGGTGTCTGGTGCCAGGAGCTTCCAAAACAGGAAGGAATGACTTACCCAAGGCCAGAGCCAGGGGCAACGTTTCCACCATTGACATGATGTTGCACTGCAGGTTCTGGGAATTAAACTGCTCAAAAAGGTAATGCTTCAAAAGAAGCTACCATCAAACTCGTATGCCTAAGTGGATAAGCGTTGACGCCGGGACTTAAGGTCACAAAACTGAGCCGGAAAAGTTTGCAGCTTTTCCCGAGGAAGAAAGATCTAAGCCCATTGCGTACCCATTATCAGAAATTGCCAATGTGTCGGTGCCAGGTGGTTTATGATCCAAACGAAATCCTCCAGGGTATTCAGTGTGCAAGACACATTGTCCTTCAAAGCCCACCAGCACGATATCTTCCTAGTAGTCCACCACCGTTATGCACTGCAAACGCAGAGAAAGCCAGAGCCTGGCCCAGCACCGTAATGCTAAGGTGCTGAGTAAAGACCGAACAGGCAAACTGTTAGTAAGAGGGCCTCACAGAAAAGCAGTGAAAGATGTGAGTGGACTACTAAGGACCATTCACAGTTATTTTGGCATCTGGCAGGTAAGCTCAGTCACAGTGTGGTGCTACTGATAATGCCAAGAGTGTGGGTCTCATCTGTCCAGACATTCAAATTGTTACCTTTAATAATAAAAACTATGTAAAAGATTCTTTGACAATATAGGATTAGTTCCTTTTGTAAATGTCAATGCAGCGGCTATTGCGTAAAATAATGTCTGTTTTTCATTTGCAAATAACTTTGCCATGCTTTATACTAGAAACATTATTTTAGTGTAATTTGAACTTAAACTATAGAATAATTTACAGTAAAACTACTTTATAAAAAACTACCACCAGTCAATATAGAAAATTACAAATCTCAAAAAACAAGGGGAACACATAGGAGCTTTACGCTGAGTAAAATTGTATAGTAATGACCAAATCCAAGGGTTTCAATAAACTTAATTCAAAATATAGAAAATTAACACCTTTTCGGCTAACATAGAACAAAGTACAGTATAAATGCTAGACAAAACCAGGCACCTAGCATCTTCACAAGGAGGCCAGAAATGGCTGCTCTCCTACTCATGAAAGGTGTACTTAGATAAAATCGGACTGCTGACTGGCTGCTGTAAGTTGTTGCACCCTTCGATTTGCTCTTGGTCCACTGTAAAGATGGTGTCCCTTTAATTAAATGTAGACATTTAAAACTGCACTCAAGATACCACAGTGTTAATGTTTTTAGACTTATCTCTGAAATGTAGCCATTTTGGTACACCCCATCTGTAATGAGAAAAGTCTAAAGATATTTAAATTGGAGTACCCAGAGTTCAACTTTAGGCCCCGTTCACACCGGTGTGGTTCGGTCGCGCGGATCCGCAGACATGAACGATCCCATACATTGCAATGTGGACCATTTCCCGCCCGAATTGCTCCCTGAGCTTTTTTTTCCGTGCTGATTAGCACGGTTTCCATACAGCTTTCAATGGAACCACGCTTATCAGCGCGGTTTGGGGAGTTTTTAATTGCGTTTCAGCTCTGAAGTGCAATTCAAAACGCCCAAAACTGCCTTTTTTTTTTAATCGTACAGAAACCACGCTGATCTGCACCCGTCCTGGTGTGAATGGGGCCTTGAGGTGATTTGCATTAACAAAAGCAAAGCAAATTAGACATTACTGGAGCTCTTACTCCCTAGTCCCTAATATACTTGAAAGAGGAAACCTGTTTACTTGCTATGAACAATTTCTGTAATTTGGCTCCAGTTTTTTCTGCTTTTATTTTGATAAATTCATCCAAGTTGTCTACCTTTGTAAATAATAAGCATTTCCTTTCATACAAAAATAAATAAATCTGTTTTCTATTATTTATATACTCAGTTTAATTTTTCATAAAAGCACACGTTAGAAGTAAAAACTTTCAAGATCATAAACAGGCTTTATTTGTTCTCTATACACATAACATACATTGTTCATGTACAAAAGAACATACATTTTGTAGGAACTAAATGTTTTTGATGTAAATAAAACACCTTTAGACCCAAAACACCTTTAGACCCATCTACAGGCTGTAATAATGTGAATATATTAAAAATGGTTTTAAAAATATAGGCTGCTTTCGGTTAAAATTTATGATTATCCAATGTACAAGAAAATCTTTACTTCTCATGAAATTGTTAATTTATGCAGTTAACAAATAAAATTGAAGACGCAATCGTATGGAAAGCATACAGGCAGTGGTTAAAAAGAAAAAACGGTAGCTGCATTCATTCTAACTTGCATTATTGCATTGTACACCTGATCTGTAAGAGGTCATCATTTAATTTTACAATAATTTAATAGCTAAATTTCTTATGTTTCCTGTGTCACAATGCTGATAATTTTATAAACCAAAAAAAAAAATGAATTAGTTTAGACAACTGTAGATCACAAATATACAGATAAGGTCTAACAGGAAACATCTCACTTATTCCAACCTTTTTAGGTGCAAGGCTTTGTTTTACGAACAAGCAGTAACTATTTACAACTAGGGAAAATTGACACTTTTTCATTAGGTGAAACACATCTCTATCTCTAGCACTAAATCTATTGTTGTACAGCTGAAACATTAAGTGTAAAAATAAAAACATTTTGGGATGCCATAAACCAAGACCCCCCCTTGCCACCACTATCTGCATCAAATGACTAAAGTGATCAAAACCGCTACAGAGCATGAGCGAATGATGCAAGCCTACAGGTGGTGAGACTGATGTTTTTACTAGGGAAAGAGACTTCCATACAACCTGAGCCAGAAGTGAAGGTTAAGTCCACATATATGCCTACAGGCAACTTCATATGAGTTCTCAGGTCACTCAAGCTGTAAAGAGAGGTTTGTTTTCTTTGCAAGTTTCTATCAATATTAAATTATGGACAATGCCGCTAAGGATGTGAGAGATCCTTTTGTTGCAGGTAGTACAGCTCCATGTCAGGGGTGGAAGAGCCAAAACCTGCAGTAGGGATATTTTGCTGCTACTCGCAAGAGAATAAGCCACCAGCAGATGATTCAACCCACTGAAGTCAACTCATAACTGATCTATATCAGTTTTGGTGTGGAATGACCAGCATTATAAAAACGCTGCAAGGAAGCTTAATAATTTGCATGGACTTCTGTGTATTTCACCCATCAAACCCTAGCTTGTTACATAAGAAAAAGGAAGGCTCATAGTTGGAGCAATGTAAAAGTCAAAGCTGGAATTGCCAGATGTACAGCAAAAGTAGGTTCTACAATTTTTATTCTTCCAGCGTAAATCGTTCATCTGAAAGACTTCTGTTAAAAGCACAACCACCATTCTTTGCAGGAAAATCGAGGAGGATCCTTTTTCTGTGCATTCTGTTCCATTGGTGCTTCATGTCACAGTAAAGCAATTCAAAATGTATCAAGGAGGGTCAGAAAATATAAAATTCCATTTTACCCTCAAAAAATAATCATCATTCCAAAAGATCCTAAAAGAAAGAAGTGGATTTGAAGAACATATTAATATGCATTTTCTTTATAAAATCTTACACAGATTTTCCCAATCCTGAACAAAAGTTTAAATTGCATTAATGCAGGAAGAGCTAGCCCTTGAAGTGACTAAACATAGATCACCTTAGATATTTATTACGGTATATTGCATGCAGAAATCATGCAAGGGAGAGATTTTGAATAAGGTTCTAGGCAGGAACCACTTCTTTGGTCCGGTTTGTAACATTCGATTCCCAAAAACTTTACCGACCTGTGGCGGACTTCCACTTAAAATACAAATATTAATGGGCATTTTCTTTATTGCCTTTATTATTTTATTAGAATGACCACTAGCTGTGACATTACATTACCTGCAGGGAGTGAGGTATTCACAAGCACTTTAAAATTCATATTTTTGCTAATTCGTCTATGCATTACAACCCAACATATTATCTTGCAAAACCCCTTCAGTTTATTGAGATCAATAGATCTAAAAGCAATTTTTATAGGATGACTGCTGCAGATTTGTCATTTCTAAGATCTTTAGATAACCACTTAAAGTGGACCCTGCACAAAAAAATAAGGGTCTGCTTATTTGTTCAGGACCTGCACTCCAATGCCAATATAGTGTTAAAAATATGCTTCTTATTAAAAAGGAGAACTATGGGGTAAGTGTTTTTCCCCATAGTTCTCCTAAGGGTCACAGAGGACATAAACTAGCGTCCTCCCGTGACCCAAAGCTCAGTATACCGCGAGCTACAGCTCGCAGTATACCGAGACCGCCGCAGCCTGGACGGATCCCGACATTACTGTCGAGATCCACCCAGCTGCGTGAGTGACAGCTGGCTCTGCCTATCTAGAGGCAGAGCCAGCTGTACCCGCCCCCTCCCCGTCCGTTCTGCCAGTCACCGCTGTAGGATCGGATCGGGAAGGGGGGGACCCTGCAGGGAGCCGTGACTGACAGTCACCGCTCTCTGCAGGGACATGATCGAGAAGTGAGCGAGCGACGATATGTGTTCGCTCACTTCCCGATCTATTGAGCCGACCTGTGACAGTCTTTGTCACACGTCAGCTCGAACTATGAGGTTGAGTGAAAATCACTCACCTCATAGTTCTCCTTTAAGGACAAAAGATTTTGAATGCTTATGTGCAAAAAAATCCAAAATGATCAGCTTTGGGATTACCAAATGTAAAGCAAATGAATACATATTCTCTATTTACAGCAAGGACTAAAAAAAAAATTAAAATGTAAAGCACGAATGACCCAAACATTTTAGCTTGAATAGGGAAGAATATATAAAGTGTGTGTATAGCCTGAACAGTTAAAACTCCTGTCAAGTTTTTATCGATGTCTGTGTCCCTGCAGGGTGTCGGTGCTATATAAATACCCAAAATAAATACATAAGTAAATGTTCTGGTTACCACTGTCACACAGACAGAAAACTATAAGAAACCCAGACTTCATGTTGCATCTTCAGGACATCTCCCCAATGGGACAGCAAAAATTAAGCGAACAGCAGTTTTTGATCTTCCCTACCTACATTTTTTGGCTAAACACATGCATATGTAAATATTAAATACTATATA